ATATTAATTTACTTATTTAATAAATAAAGATCTAAAGATAAATATCTAGAGATCACAAAAATTATTTGGTGAGAGAGATGTAAGTATTGTACTATACTACAGAATGCTTTCTTATAATATTACTTTACAGAACATAATCTGAAATATAATTAGGACTATTAGTTTTATTTCTCATTTCTCATTAAATCTTGGTTATTGCTTCTCCCTGCCTTGAGGACAACTTACATTAAAAAATGGCAAATCATATCCTACTCTCTTCAAACCTTCAGATAAATCTGCCCAATTAAAGCTCTCATTAGAGTCAGCTGACTGAACACAGACATGACTTCAACCCGTCTGGCTCAATATGAACTTATCAAAAGTTTATGAACTTTATGACCTGAGTTAGTTATCTGCTCAAATATGCTGGCATATAAAAAATGTGCAGTAAAAATCATGAACAATATTTGGGAATTGGGGGATAAAATAATAATACTTTTGCACATATTGGCAAAACTGACATTTTTTTATTCTTATTTTTTCCAAAACAAAATAAATTAATTAATCTCCCTATATATGCTTGATCTATATTTTGTGTTTGTTTATATTGATGGAAATATGTAGATGGAAAAACTATGAGGTCAAAGGTTGATGGTTTGTCCACTGCTGAAGAGTATAAAATAAAATACAATTTTTGATATTTTTTTTCTAGTGGGTGCAGGACACTATAGTTCATTTATGTAAGTGAGGATAGCAAAATAGAGTAAACTGTGACAAATCATACCCAAAAATTCTTCATACAGTGGACTACCAGTAAAACTGATACAAGATTAATTTGTTCTGACACAGTGTAACTCTGAGTTCTTGTCATATTTTATTACTATTTTCTAAACTATAGCGAATAAACTGTGATAATGTGAGAAATGTTGAAGGTGTCTGAATAAATTTTGGTTTGGCTGTATGTATTTCATAAATGAAGTTAACCAACTAACAATATACACACTCTTTTGGTTTCTGTATACCCAATATTTAAAAAAATTACAAATGCAATAAAAATACTGGTATCGGTACTCGGTATCGGCAAGTACCAAAAATAAAAGTATCGGTATCGGGCGAGTACTGGAAAAAGTGGTATCGGTGCATCCCTAGTTATTATGTTAGTTTTAAAAGCAGAATGGGCCCTTGACCAGTGCAGAAAACACAAAATGCACCAGTAAAGGATTCAAGATCTCACCCGAATCTTAAATACAACAGCACTTCACCCAGAGAAACTCCAGCGTATTCAGCTCTTACAGAAACAATCTCTCTCAAACAGAAAAAAGAGGGCTGAGGAGATCTAAGGCTCAGAGAAATCCATTAGTGAAGGTGAGCCCTCGCACCGCTGGATGCCTCATTGTCCCGCCGGCGGGCCGCGGATGACTGACAGGAATGATTGGTATGCAGCGAGGACAGTGTCGTCCTTTAAAAAAACCTCTCCCTGAAAGCATTCATCATACAGAACGACAGAACGAGGCAGAGGAAAAGACACAGAACCACTACGAGATGAGACATCTCATATTATGAGAAAAGATAGAAAGAATCAGTATGAAGAACTACACAATAACACATAACACACACAGTGCCATTAAAGGGGAGAGACTTGATTTAGTCCTCCACGAGATCGATAACCAGTACACACACACACACACACACACATCGATCAGCATGTAGTCGTTTATATTTCATCCTCCAGAATCAATCGCCCCCGCAGCTTCTGGAACTCTGTAATCTGTTCATCAATTCTTTCTGATTCAGGTATCAGCCAAAGCAGCATGTTTCCCAATCAAGTCATTAATCAGGTGATCCATGGAGGTGATTGGGGGAAGGGGACATCACCCGCAGGGCGTCAGAAGGGCACGTAGACTAAGAAAATGCAGCTCTGCAAGCCAACACAAACCTATGAAGCACTTTATGGCGGCTACATTTCCAACTGGATGGGATTTTTATGCTTTTGGTGGACTGGACAGGGCAGAGAGAAAGGAAAGTGTGCATGTGCACTACAGCAGTGACACAGGGTTCAAAATCAACAGCGAATCAAGAAAATTAACCATCAAAAATATTGGAAAGCACAAGAAAATGCATTTAGCTTTAAAAAAAAAATAACACTACCCTTCGAAAGTTTGCTGTTTTCAGAGTCTTTGATGAATAGAAAGTTCAAAAGAACAGCATTTCTGTCACTTTCGATTTATTCAATTTGTTGCATCCTTGATGTATAAAAGTATTATTTCTTAAAAAAAAATTATAATAATTACTGACCTCCAAATTGGATATATTCATTTAAAAAAATTACTTTTTTAATTTATTAAATTTATATGTGTTCTGAATTCATGATAAATTTACGAGTTTCTACAATTTTTAGTTTATATTTAAAAATCCAATAATGTTGCATGGATAGTGTATATGTACTAAGCCAGAGGGTTTTTAAAAATGTATTTACTTAAAAATTTATTTATGAAGAGTTCAGATGCAAAGGCCTCTAAGTGCCGTTTAAAATTTTCTTCTAAAATTATGATTTTTCTTAGGCTTCTATGTTTATGATCGGTTATTTCACTTTAATGGCAATGAAAAGAACCTATTCATTGCCATTAAAGTGAAAATTACTGAACCTACACATAGAAGCCTGATAAAAATGCTCATTTTAGAAGAAAATTTCAAACGGCATTTAGAGGCTTTTGCATCTGAACTCTTCATATACGTATATACACACACACACACACACACACACACATATATATATATATATATATGTATATATATATATATTGCTCTCCTCTATAGTTCTCAAATTTAATTTAGCATTTTCAATGTCAATTGAATGTCAGTCAATTAATGTCAATAGGCGCGTTTCCATTACCCTTCAAATTGCGCAAATTGAAATTGCGAATTGAAAACCTATGGATTATTCCAGACGCGCCACACACGTTTCTGAAGCGGCTATCTTTGCTGCTTCTGTAGATACATGCATAAGCCTCCTTTGAATAAACATAGACAAAATTCCACCAAAATCCGTTGCCATGACTTATCGCGAGAAGCAAAAGGTTACGTTTTAGTCGCATAACATTGGTTAATGGAAACGCCGTCATTTCGCAATACTTTTTTATTGACATTTATAAAATATTGCCAAAGTTTTGCGCAAATCTGTAATGGAAACGCGCCTAATGACACCAAATAGCATTTGAGTGTCTCCACCAATCACAACATGGCAAGTTTGAATATGCAAATGTGATTTGGGAGCTGCAGCATTGAGAAAAATAAAATAAATAAAATCATACGGGTTCAAAAAGACACACGTAAGCAAATGATGGCTGAATGTTGATTTTTGGGTGAACTATCCCTTTAATAAGGCCCCGTCCACACGAAGATGCGTTTAGCTGTATATGCATACATTTTGTATCGTATAGGCGTTTCGTCCACACGGATCCGGCGTTTTTTTGGAGCGTGAAACCAATATTTTTTTAAACCGAGTCCCAGCGTAGATAAATCCATATCTACCAGCGTTTTCATGTGGACAGCGAATCTGTATATTTTCTGAAACGATGACGACATCAGCCCACGTCTCGCCCCTAGTCAGACACCGCTACGTCACGTAACAGCAACAACAACATGAACAAACACTGAACGATTGTCTTTTTATTAACTAATATTAACACAGATTAATAAATGTATGTTCATTTGTATACCGAGCGCAAGGTTTATGCGCATAGTCCAAGTCTTCTTCTCCGTTTTTAGTGTATCTCTGTGGCAGAATTACAGCGCCAAATGCTGACCTGGCATGTATATTACATCGTTTTGTGTCGGTTTCGTGGTTTCGTGTGGACGCAGATATTTCTTGAGACGAGGGGAAAAAAAAGATTGGATAGGGAAAGCTCTGGCTTCGTGTGGACGTAGCCTAAATGACATGATAACATTTTCTGTTCATAAATTATCAGCTCTCAAAAGAGGAAACAATTAAAAAATTTACAGTCAAATTTTAATCATGATTTTTAATAGATTTTTCTCATCTTAAACACTTAAGTCAGGCGGTGAATAAAACAGTCACATTTGCGTTTTATCCTTCATTCCTCCAAACAAAAGCATGTCATGTGGTGAATCCTGTCTCCTTAAGTTTGCATTTCTCTGCAAATCTTCAAAAAAAGACCCTAAAGGCAATTTCAGAGAGACGCCAAACACTGAACGATTGTCTTTTTATTAACTAATATTAACACAGATTAATAAATGTATGTTCATTTGTATACCGAGCGCAAGGTTTATGCGCATAGTCCAAGTCTTCTTCTCCGTTTTTAGTGTATCTCTGTGGCAGAATTACAGCGCCAAATGCTGACCTGGCATGTATATTACATCGTTTTGTGTCGGTTTCGTGGTTTCGTGTGGACGCAGATATTTCTTGAGACGAGGGGAAAAAAAAGATTTGATAGGGAAAGCTCTGGCTTCGTGTGGACGTAGCCTAAATGACATGATAACATTTTCTGTTCATAAGTTATCAGCTCTCAAAAGAGGAAACAATTAAAAAAAAAAATTTACAGTCAAATTTTAATCATGATTTTTAATAGATTTTTCTCATCTTAAACACTTAAGTCAGGCGGTGAATAAAACAGTCACATTTGCGTTTTATCCTTCATTCCTCCAAACAAAAGCATGTCATGTGGTGAATCCTGTCTCCTTAAGTTTGCATTTCTCTGCAAATCTTCAAAAAAAGACCCTAAAGGCAATTTCAGAGAGACGCATCAAAAACCAGCTGCGACGTATACGCAGACACTGTAAGCGTGTGTGTGTGTGTCTGTCTCTCCGAAGCGCTATGAAAGTCAGAAAGTGTGACCCGCTGCAGCTCTGGTTCATGAGAGTAACTTTCATGAAATGGAGAGCTGTCAGTGGAGGAGAGGGTCAGGTAATGCCGTCTGACAGTCTACTGACTTCAATCAGCCACACAGACGGCGTTACATCACGCCAGTGAAGGAGGAGTCTGTGTGTGTGTGTGTGTGTACCTCTGACACTCGCTGGCGTGCAGCACCAGGTCCTGGTTGTTCTTGGCAGACAGCGTGAGCTCATGTTCGGTCGAGTTGAACACATCCAGCAGTAGATGACATTGACGAGTACTGCAGAAACATGGAGAAAGACAAACCGAGGAAGTATTAATGAAGTACAGAACTCACACTTCATTTAATCATTTAAGTTTGAATGCAATGTCTCTGTCAAAGCAAAATCAAGTAAAATGTGTAAATGTGCACAACTGGACTTTAGAGCGTTGGTTAGGACAAAGAAATCATATTGCACTGGACAAATTGATCCAATTAAACAAGATATTGTGAAATGATTTATAAAAGTCAATTTTTGAAGTTTTTAATGAGCAATATTTAGAATATATAGAATTGTTATTCTATTTGTATTTTTTGTAATTACTTTATTGTAATTATTTGTATTATTATTTTTATGTGAAACACTTATGCAAAAAAAAACATATTTAGTTTATTCAATATACACTACTATTGAAAAGCAAGATTTTTTTATGGAAGAAATAAATGTCTATTCACTGAAAAAAAACTTTACATTTTTTAAATAATATTTTTTTAAATAAAATTTTAAATAAAAACTATTAAAGAATCCTGAAAAAAGAAAATGTATCATGGTTTCCACAATAATATTAAGCAGCACATCTGTTTTTAACATTGATAATAATAATAAATGTATCTTGAGCACCAAATCATCATATTAGAATGATTTCAGAGGATCATGTGACACTTCAAGGAATAGCTTTGCATCACAGGAATAAAATACATTTTAAAATATATTCAAATTGAAAACACTTATTTTAAATTGTAAACAAATAAAATAAAAAAATCAACAATATTTATTTTTTACTGCATTTTTTAAATGTGCCCTTGGTGAGCATGATATTTTGTTATAGTAATGTTTATATAAAAATATCTACAAAATTTGCTTGATTTAAATATTTTTGATATTAATTCTGACATCAGTTTATACTACTGACACAAGCACACAAATAAATGTAAGTACACACACACACAAACAAACACACACAGACACAGACACAGACACACACACACACACACACACAGACAAACACACACACACACACACACACACACACACACACAGACAAACACACACACACACACACTCACACACCAAACCAGATGGGCACAAGAGGTCATGCAGATGTACTTGTCATCTTCTGTCCAAACATTAAAGGTTAGCATCTCTTTCATGTAACAAAAGCTTTGTGTGTGTGTGTTACCTGCATCTTTATTTATGGAAACAAATTCTCAAACCCACCACAGTAATACACACAAATCAAATTCTACCCTGCTTGTATTTCCTCCCCTAAAGTCTACTTATAACATTAGTCATGGTTTCTTGCAGCAAAAACAGTCATAATTTAGTTTTGGTGACTATTTTCTATCTTCATCTTCTCTCGCCATTAGAATCAAATAGTCCATGTGTACCTTTAAGGATTAGTAAAACAAATATTGTGCATCAAATTTCAATAGAGCAAGAAAAGGCCAGTTTACCATGATATGACCTCTTTAAACCCCAGTGAGCAGAGATTTTGAATGATATGATGGCCGCTGTGTGTCAACACACAAGCAGAGCAGTCAAGACATACAGTATCTCTCTCTCTCTCTCATTTCTTACAGTGATCAGTAGGGAATGAATCATCACAAGAGATGCAGCCAACTTTTAAATAGCAGAGAGAAATTGAGAGCGAATGCCAACCAATGCTTACTCAACACCGAGCATCCCTCATTCTCTCGCTCTCCATCTCTCTCTCTCAACTCGTGAGCAGATGCCCAAAGTTTTCCCGCAGCGGAGTCCAATGACGTCACCGCTGGAAATCACTGAGGAACGTTTCAAGTTGAACACATCATGAATTTGACCCCGTTTACTGTCTTAATACACATTCTGGATCTCATTAAAAGAAATAAAAAATGGCTTACATTCATAATCTTTCTTCGCCCATTCCCTTTTGGCTGCTCACTCGAGGTTTCAAGACAATAAGGCGAGATTTTCTGCAAAGCTGCTTCGAAATAGCATGGATTGTGAAAAGTGTTTTACAACTAAGCATGTAATGCACTTACAGTAGAAGTCTGTGGAGAAAAACGCTGTACTATAAATGCAAAAAATAATGTACACACTATTTCGACAGCATAGCCACAAGAAGATTATACCTGTTGACCGAATGCCAAAGAACTGCTCACACTGGCTGTGTAAAGTAATATCCGATGCAGTCATTCCCTATGAATCGAACCCATGACCTTGACTTTACGAGTGCCATCTATTGTTTGAGCTACACGAAAGCAACAATGTACAGAAGTCATCTCAATTATCACCAGTAAAATATGGAGTGCCACAAGGATCTGTCCTAGGTCCTCTGCTATTTTCGATATACATGTTGCCACTTGGTAATATTATTAGGAAATACGGGATTAGTTTCCACTGTTATGCCGATGATACTCAACTATATATCTCAACAAGACCAGATGAAACTTCTAAATTATCTAAGCTAACGGAGTGTGTTAAAAATGTAAAAGAATAGATGACCAATAATTTTCTCCTATTAAATTCAGATAAGACAGAGATATTACTTATTGGACCAAAAGACAGCACGCCGAATCTCGTGGATTACAATTTGCAACTAGACGGATGCACGGTTACCTCCTCTACAGTCAAAAATAATTTAACATATATGCATTTTTATTTATACAGAATTAAAATATATTACCATACAGTGGGGAAAATATTAATTTGATCCCCTGCTGATTTTGTAAGTTTGCCCACTTACAAAGAAATTAAGGGTCTGTAATTTTTATGGTAGGTTTATTTTAACGACAGAATACCAACCAAAAAATCCAGGGAAAAAAACACATTATATAAAGCTTAGAGACTAATTTGCATTTCAGTGAGTGAAATAAGTATTTGATCCCCTACCAACCAGCAAGAATTCTGGCTCCCACAGATTGGTTATGTGCCCATGAGCAACACAGATTAGTTCTGTCACTTTAAGAAGTTAGTCCTAATGTCAGCTTAGGTTAGGTTAGGTTTATAAGACACCTGACCACACAATCTGTATCTTCCATTCCAACCTCTCCCACCACCATAGGCAAGACCAGAAAGCTGTCAAAGGATGTCAGAGACAAGATTGTAGATCTGCACAAGGCTGGAATGGGCTACAAGACCATCAGCAAGAAGCTTGGTTAGAAGGACACAACTGTTGGTGCGATTATTCGGAAATGGAAGAAATACAAAATAACCATCAATCGGCCTCGGTCTGGAGCTCCGTGCAAGATCTCGCCTCCTGGGGTAAGGATGATCATGAGAAAGGTGAGGGATCAGCCCAGAACTACACGGGAGCAGCTTGTTAAAGGATTGATTAGGGTTCAATACAGCTTAAACTCACAGCTCAAAACATGTGCATTAATTCACTTATAATGGAAGTCTATGGAGCGAAGCATTCAGGATGATTTAAAGCAGAAACGTGCAATTGGATATATTAATTATTCATCAGTATTGTTTTTAGCTATTTTTAAGACTTTTTTTTCTCACAAATGAATTTTATCAGATTTTTTTTTTTAGATATAAACTCAGAATTCTGAGAAAAACAACTTTAAATTGTTATATGTACACTCAAAATTGCAAGAAAAAGTCAGGACTCTTGAGTTAATATTTCTCAGTTCTGACTTTATTTCTGAATTTAAGTCAGAATTGTGAGATAAAAGTCGTTATTACCTTTTATATTTTATTATCCCATTATGGAAAGAGATTTATTTCTCTCAGTTTGATTTTCTTTTCCAGAATTGCTAAATATAAACTCAGAATTCTGAGAAAGAAGTCAGAATCATGTGATATAAACTTAGAATTGCGATATGTTAACTCCGAAAAAAAGTCAAAATTTGAGTTTATATTTCTCAATTCTGAATGTATTTACAAATTTAAGTCTGAAACAGGCTTCCATAATTCTTTTTTATCTTGTGGAGGAAATGGGCTTCCAGAATTAATATAGTATTTTTTTGTTAAATTATTACGCATAAAAATAGTAAATATGGCTGTTTATAATTGTTTTTGAGTCATATAATCGTAACATAAATTTATTGTAAATTTCTGTGTATTTAAATGTTAAGTAGTAGTAGCTAAGAAGAATTGATAATAGATGGCAATAATAAATTTATGAAAATCTATTATTGTTGTTTACATTTTTTTGATATTTTGTTATAGTAAATAAATATATTAATGTGATCCTCTCTAAATCCTCTAGGTTTCTTGGCTGTCGTTTGGCAACTCGAAGTTTCAGCTCCCTCCACAGATTTTGTATAGGATGAGGTCTGGAGACTGGCTAGGCCACTCCATGACCTTAATGTGCTTCTTCTTGAGCCACTTCTTTGTTGCCTTGGCGGTATGTTTCGGGTCATTGTCATGCTGGAAGACCCATCCATGACCCATCTTCAGTGTTCTGGCTGAGGGAAGGAGGTTCTCGTCCAAGATTTTACAGTACATGGTCCCATCCATTTGCCCCTCAATGTGGTGAAGTCGTCCAGTACCCTTAGCAGAGAAACAGCCCCAAAGCATAATGTTTCCACCTCCGTGCTTGACTGTAGGGATGGTGTTCTTGGGGTCATAGTCAGCATTTCTCTCCCTCCAAACACAGCGAGTCGAGTTAATGCCAAAGAGCTCAATTTTGGTCTCATCTGACCACAGCACTTTCTCTCAAGCCTTCTCTGAATCATTTAGATGTTCTTTGGCAAACTTTAAACGGGCCTGTACATGTGCCTTCTTGAGCAGGGGGACCTTGCGGACACTGCAGGATTTCAGTCCATTGCGGCGTAGTGTGTTACCAATGGTTTGCTTGGTGACTGTGGTCCCAACTGCCTTAAGATCATTAAAGCACTGGATTTGTGAAAGATAAAATGTCATGAAGACAGTAGCTTTCTTTTATTTGGCATTTGAATGTTTTTTTCCCTCTGGAGGTCCTCGTCTCACTACATCCGCTCACACCACACCAGAGATAAAAGCTTTTTTAAGACAGGTTCTTCTTCATTTAATGGTCTTCCAGTATTATTTGTGTGTTAAGTGTGTCTAAAAG